GTCGACGGAGGCATGTAGTCTAGACGTACCCTTAGGGTATGTCTACACTAGCCCCATAGTTCGAACTAGGGAGGCTAATGTAGGCTTTCGAAGTTGTAAATGAAGCCCGGGATTTAAATATCCCGGGCTTTATTTGCATGTTCCCGTCTGGTTGCCATTTTTACATTCCACTAGTCCGAAGTAACTGCCCACGGCTACATGCGGCAGTGAAACGGTAATTCGAACTAAGTCCTTAGTTCGAATTAACTGTTACTTCTCATGTAAATCCATAAGGAGTAACAGTTAATTTGAACTAAGGACTTAATTCGAATTACTGTTTCACTGCCGCGTATAGCGGCGGGCAGTTACTTCGGGCTAGTGGAATACATGCAAATAAAGCCCGGGATATTTAAATCCCGGGCTTCATTTGCAACTTTGAATGCCTACATTAGCCTCACTAGTTCGAACTAGGGACTAGTGTATACATACCCTTACATCCCTACCTGGTCCCTGCCTTTTTGCAAGCATTGCTAATTCAACACCACAATAATGTTCTAAATGACCAAAATCTCCACAGCCCTGAAAAGGTTGTACAAAATATGTCAGTTTTATTGGCATAAATGCATTAAGTTATAATGCTAATTTAGTGAGAGATTTCTGATGGGTTTATCTTGCATATGTTGCACCGTGTAGACCTCTCTATCATAAATACTTAACCAATTTTCAATAGATATAAGTGGTTTAAGTAATACTTCCTGTTGAATTAGCAGTTGCTGAGCATTTGAGTCTTTGTGCTATCCTGCAATCCACTAATGTGATATTTAATGAGGAGACATCAGTCTGGAGAAAGGTAGTCAATATAAATCAGTGTTTACAAAGTGTGATTAACTCTGAAATATTTCATCAATGCTGTGGTCCCAGGCAGACTCTATGCTAATTACTAGAAGCTGCGTATGTTTCAGGGGATTTTGACGGACCCTGAGTGCAGCAAACATGGAGCAGCAAAATTGCAATTATGCTCGGACTGTCTCTGATGACAATTTATGCACTTGGTGTGATGACCCCTCACTTCCCAAGAGGGCAATAAACAGAATGCATTTTCATTAAGATACTAATGCACTTAATCACAGGGGAAAGGGTTAGAAAGTAACGAAATACCTTTAAAGCAAGATGTGTCAGGACTGATGGGATAAGATGCTTTATTTAAAAGTAAGTTTCTTTGCAAAACTACTGAGTACCGCAGGCTCTCTCTTATTGAATTTAGTCATGAACAACAGGGTGCTGGATTAGAGAGCGTCAGGCAGCAGAAGCCTTTTATGAAAGGAGATACCAAATTGAGATAAAATAAAATAAAACTTTCCCTCATTTGGACTCAGATGCTTACAAAGATGGGGAAATTTTGGTGTAAATTTAACAGTAGTTTTGTGTGCATGTCTGGTTGTTTTTATTTAGCTGTTGAGCCCAGACAGCATGTTCAGTGCTGTAGAGGACAAACATGAAACACTGCCTTGACCTCCAAGAGTGAGAAACCCCAAAAGGGAAGGGGAAGGGCAGTGGCAGTGACATGGGGAGTAGAACTGGCCTAGAAGAATGGGAAGTGTGTGTTGTGGCCTTTGAAAAGGTATGGTTATGGCTGTGCAGTTCCCTCCCGTTTTAGGGACTTTGTGCCCGCAGTTTTGGAAGGAGAAAGATGAACTGCCACAACCACAGGCTTTGCCCTACAATCACAAGGTAGTCCTAAGTCTCAGAGGGGTAGCCGTGTTAGTCCGTATCTGCAAAAACAACCAGGAGTCAGTGTAGTTCTAAGAATGCTTTTGATTTCAGCAGTCACCTCCTAACAACCACAATAAAGCACTAGATGTCACCTCTTCCTCATATGTCTATGGCCAAGAGGCAGATAAGGCAGGTACAACTGTTATGCCTCATTGCGAACTTCTACAAACCCGACATAGTTCACATTTAGAGGATTGTCTGTGACCCAGACATGGAGGAGACGTTCTGGATGGGGATTCATGGATCAGGAACATGGCCTATGTGATTTAGTGTGGCAGCTCCGCTTCCACAGACTCCGCTTCCACAGATTGCTGTTACCCCTGGCAGAAATAATCTACATGAAGGAATTTGCTTTGGGCTAGCCTATCAAGATACAGGCCCATACTAATAAAGCTTTTGCAGTTTTTGTGTACAGCCATCTGAGCAAAAAACATCAAACAGCCTGATTTTGCCTGTTTTTTTTAAAATATAATCTCAAAGCCAGGGACAATTGCTTTTAATTGCACGCTTGTATTCTCCTAAATGAAATACACTAGCAGTGTTATGATTTCTGTTCACATAGTGATGGCATTTGTCGGTTAACATTTCTCAATTACTTTTTTTTTTCTGAAATCTGTGCCACAGGTAACATAGAATACAGCTGTCCAGCCACAAATGAATGTGAAATTACAAAGCGCAGACGCAAGTCCTGCCAAGCCTGCCGCTTCATGAAGTGTCTAAAAGTTGGCATGCTGAAGGAAGGTAAGGCTGATCTAGTCAATATGTATCTGTTGAGAAATCCATGTAACAATTGCAGGGCAATCAGGGCAGAAAAGAGATGGTAAGTGGTCTGACCACCTATTGCAGAAAAAAACTTCAATATACACATGTATTTTCTGACCAACTGTTTTTAAATGCTTGCTGAAGATTCCAGGTATATCCAGGAAAAACATATAATCTGTGGCGTGAAATGTTTCCGGTACACCCTAGCATTCCATCTGTCTCAATGGGCTGCTAGTAGAATAGTCATCACAACCCCCCCTGTCTGTTTCCATAAGATTTGTACCTTGTGAAGTTTCAAGCCTTCATTATCTCTTACTCGATGCTGTTTCTGTTACAACTTCATTCTCTGATTTTCTGTGTCCACATTGTACTGATTATCACCAGGAAAAATGAAGGGGTTTTCTTCTTCTCCCACGATATGCTGGCATAAATACAGAATAACTATACTGATGTCAATGAAGTTACACTGATGCAAAATTTGGGGTGAGTGTTAAGTGCACACACTCGCTCTCACCTGTCTTCAAAGCTTTTTTTTTCCGGGGAGAAGGGAAATTAGCTACCTCCCTTTTTCTAAATCAAGGCACACAAACATTGGTAAATGTAGGAACACATCTCTAAGAAACCATCCTGACAGATCTGGGGCTTAATATAACCCAATAACATCAATATAAAACTAGTATAGTCCAGAGAGACTTGGACCCTGACTATAGAATAAAATATATTCTAGACATGCTAGAAACCCTGCCATTTGAGGATGTCATTTTTATGCATCAATTTTATTCACTAAAATTGGATTGCATTGTAGCCATCAAGGGAGAGTACCAGAAAATAAAATAATTTCATTGACTTGTGAGCTAGATAACAATTTAGAAGAAATACATTGAAATCCGTTCTAACAGTTGTATTTGTTGGGTAATCCCCAGCATTAAGCAACTGCTTTAAAATATCTCCAGATGATTTCCAATGTAATTTTGTTTGAACATAACTTAAAATAATCAGCTTTAATTGGTGGCGAATTTTTACAAATCCTGTAACTAGTCTTTTAAAGCAGGTTTCACTGTGTAGCCATGCTGGTAGTGTCTAAGAGGAATATAGAGCAATAGAGAGATGATGGAAAAATTAGGCCTATCATGCACCTCCAGACATATTCTTATTGGATTATACTTACTAAGAATAAACCTCGTTCTGTGCAACTGCTTTGGCAGACACTATGATCCTATGAGCCAAATCCTGCTGTCCTTAGTTTCACTTAAGCAAAACTCCTGTCAAATTCAATGGAGATTTTGCTTCAGTAAGGACTGCAGGATTTGGCCCACTTTCTTGTACAGCTTGGGTTTTCTTATAGGTAGAAAACCTGATTTGTTTCAGCCACTAATGGCCAAAATAGAAACTTTAGACAAGCTGGAAAATAAAAGGCACACAGGGTAATGCCAGCTTTTGAAAAGCTCTGTGCTGCTTAATAGCTTTGTGAATAAGAAAAAAAATGCTTGTATTACTACTAATTTAACATATAGGCATATTGAGGAACTTGTTCTTAATAGGAGGGAATGGAAAGAAACTCAGAAGTAGTCAGATGGGTGAACTGACTTATAACTTGATTTTAAAATGTGAGGTACACAATTACATATGCATAAATATTTGTAATTACATGCGTAGTTTGTTTGGGCAGTTATCGTGGCTGCATGTGCAACTCCGGAAATTGCTTCTGAAAATGGTTAATTATGTTCAGTTTCCCAGTCTGCATGCACCGTCACAGTAATTGTGCATACAAGTCAGGTGCCGATTTGTTCATCTCTTTTTCTTACACAGTAGTCGTGTGTCTACCATGCTTAAACATCGATGTCTTAAATTAAAATGTTTCCATGATCCAGATTTTCAAAACAAAAGGTGCTTTGATTAGAATAATGAATACCATGTGATGATGTTAAAGGTATATTATTGGCCAGATTCTGCCTTCAGTTCTGTTCACCGATAATACCAGGAAGTGTACGGCACCACCAGTGTAAATGGGTACAGAATCAGGCCCATTTGTTTTAAGCAAACTGTAGCTCAGTGTGTCAACATTTTATTGTGCCTAATTTTTCCTGTAAATGGAATTTTTTAAATCCTCTGTCTCAAAGACATTACCTTAATTTCCACTGCATTTTTGCACTTTGTGGTCAACTACATGTACTCAAAATAGGTGTAAACTCTACCCTTACAGTGTGTTGTAAGTTACTATGCAAGTAGAGACAGGAAAGTGGAGGATCAGGAAAAATGTCAAAGTCGATTTTTAAAAAAAAGTATTTCACTGATTATATAGCAACATTGAGGTTCTCCAAAGTTAAGTCTACTACACTGTCAATTTCCAAGCTTGTTTGCTAGAGCACTCACTGATGACAAACCCACTGTCCTTCCACTCACCTCCTTTGCTGCGTCCCTAAACAGTTCTTTCTTATGGAGGGGTTGCCCAGCAGACACACAGGGAATTTGGGTTCTTTTTAATTAATTAACGTAATGCCCATGTTAAGTGTGATTGCACCACCCTGTCTGTGCACATGTGGCTCAGCCATGACTGAGGGGGATGACTTCTAGGGAGCAGAGGGAGAGTTCCGTTTCCTTGCCCAACTTGGTGATGGTCTTTGGCATTTGGAAGCAGACTGATACAGAGTTTCAACAGCATACTGTGCATTTGAGAGGGGTTTCAGAAAGGTAGTCGTTCTGGTCTATTTCAGCATCCGATGGCACTTTAACGGCTAACAAATTGATTCGGGTATAAGAGCATATGTGTTTGTGAGCTACAGCTCACTTTCTTGGATGTTGACGAGAAAAGAAAAGAGAAAAAAAGGAGGGGATACAGAGATGGGAGTGTGACATTAGTGCTAATCACACTCCCTTCCTTTATTTCCCCCTTCAAGCATCTGAGGAAGTGAGCAGTAGCTCACAAACGCTTATGCCCTAATACATTTGTTAGTCTTTAAAGTGCCACCAGACTCCGTGTTGTTTTTAAGAGAGACATTGTTTATAACAACTTAAAAAACATTTGGGGATGAACTTTTGTTTAGGATGGATTATACTGTGGAGTTGTCAGTCTATGTAAAGATTTTGTTTCCTTTTGGTTAGATATATGCAGCCGAGTCCTACTGTCTTTCTAGAACCCAGGGAAAATTAGATACAGGGACAGATTTATGCTTGGTGTAACACCAGTGGTTACCCCTATGTCTTAAACATATCTTTGTTTATAGGTGAGGATTTCAGTCCCATGCAGCATGTAAGAGATCATGCTGCAGTAAATCTATTCAAATGTAAACCTGTTCAATTCAATTACCAGTCTATAATAAAATTTACTGCTACAGCCTCCACGTTGGTCACAGCAGTCTCTACATGCTGATGGCACAGCATGCCTGGAAATTGACAGCCTAAATCTATTTACTAAAAAATTTACTTGCAGACCCTGAAATAAAATCAAGTTTCAACAGCTTTGATAGGAGTATCATATCCTTTACAGAAACTTCTGAACAACTGACAATCTGTGTTTTTGATAGAAATCTGCACCAGCATGTTGTGGGTCTTTTCTTTTAAAAACTTTTCTTGAAATAACTCTCCTTGTGCATAATCAGAAATTACATATATATCAGTCACTTCATCTCTTTTCATAGCTTGGGAAGCTTATTTAATTTTATGATGTTGTCACTTTGTGTCGTCAGCTTTGATGACAACTGGCTAGAGGCATCAACTTGTTCTTTGTCTTTGGGAAAAAGGTTCACCTGCTTCTCAGACTTGTTTAGAAAGTACTCTTCAGCTGTGGTTTCATATTATAGGCATAACTTTTATATAGAATGTTTCTACGTACATTTTGCCATATTTTTTACCAGATAGTTACTAATGGTTGGACGTCTCTAGTCCGGCATCATCGGGACCAGTCCCAAACAAGAGAATTTGCCGGACCAGGGGAGGTCCCCAGCAGGCAAACGTGCCTCGCTGTTCCCCTCCCCCAAACTTGGTTGGGCTGCTTGCCTAGCTACTGCTGGCTCCCTGGGCAGCGCAGGCTCTGGCTCCTGCCGCAGGACTCCATCCCCATCCCCGCACAACCTCAGTCCAGCCCCACGCAACCAGGGTAAGCTATGGGACTCTGACTCCCCACCCCACACTCCTGGGGACTGCTGGAGGGCTCCCATCTCCATCCTACACTGCCCCTCAGCTGGGCTGCTGACTCTGATGTCCCGCCTGGCTGGCCCTCCTCCTGCCCTACGGCTCCTGGACTCTCTGCTTCGAGAATTCCAGATTTTGAAGGTACAACCTATAGTTTTTAAATAATCCTTTAGAAAGCATATTTTGTACAAAGATTATCACAATAGTGTGTAGAGTGTGAATAAAAGGGCACATTCCATTGTGTGTGGGACTGCTCTTTGAACAGGCCATTTACTTTTCCTCCACTATGTGCACCTGTGTATAGCCAGCCAATATTTACTGTAGATGAAACCTGCAAGCAACACCTGCTCCATGCTTCAGAGGAAGGGAAGCCCCCCTCAGGATCTCTGCCAATATTACCAAGGATAAAATTCCTTTTTGACCCCGAGAAGTTGGACCCCGAGCATTTCAACAGGGCTCAACAGCCAGATACCTGGGAAAGTATTCTCTGCAGCAAGTCAGAGCCCTTTGCATCTAGTGTCCTGTCCCTGCTCACTGGGGATGTTTGCTATGAGCAATTGCAGATGCTTGTATGTCATTTTAGGCTGTCTCATCATACCATCCTCTCCATAAATTTACCAAGCTCTGTCTTGAGGCAGTTAGGTTTTTTTGCCCACTGCTCTCCTTGGAAAGCTATTCTCTCTTCTCATGGCTAGAAATGCTTTGCTGAAATTCAGATGGAGTAGATCATGTGCACTTACTTTGTCAAAAAAAAAATCAAAGAAAGAGATCGTATTGGTCTGGCATGATCTATTTTTGTAAAATCATGTTGTATTTTATCCCAGTTATTCCACTGAAAGTTTACCCAA